CCCCCAAAACCCCAAAACCCCAAAACCCCAATTTAAGATATTAAATTGAAATTATGACGTTGTTATAAAATGGCAAAGCTAAATGTTAATACTGACTTTATACATCATGACTCTGAATTGTTTAGGATTTAGGAAGCAAATTGAGAAATTACCAGAGTGCCATGCAGAAGAATGCACCAATGTAGCTACTTACTTACACAAAGGTTTTAATGTCAACATCTGTGATGAGCATTATCAACTAAATCACAAAGAGAGTTGAGTTAAACTTGAAAATATTGATGAGCGAGATGGAATCAAAGAAGCCCTTGAAGTTATCCAAGCATGTACTAAGAACCTTCAAGTGGTCTTGGACTCTGATAATGACAAAGAAGACCAAGAAGAAATTAAGCATTTACTTGCTGAGGTTCTGACTCAAACTCAGGAGATGTTCATAGAGATAGAAAAAGGTGAAGAAGGTGAAGGATTTCAAGATAATCATGAGATTAAAAATAAAGTGAGAGATATCTTCTTGCAATTGAAAAGTGAGGAAGGCTTTAAACAGTTCTGAGTCGTCAATTACACTCACCTCGTGTGAGACTATCTCAGTTTGAATAAAGTCAAAATAAATGAGATCCTTAAAATTGAAGGCTTTGATAAAATCAGTAATCTAGAAAGAAACATGGTGCATGAAAATACCAATCTTTTGGCCTACAAAGAGTTACAAAATAAATTTTGAGACTTTAAGAAGAAAGCAATAGCGTTGATAAATCCATCGACTCTTGAACAGCTGGAAAAATGCTACGAAATGATAACTGGAGTTAGCGAACCTATAAAGGCATCAAGTGGGCTTGTGCTTAAATTTGATAATATTAAAGACCTTGATTTCATAAATTCAATGGAAAATATGCCTATTTGAGACTTGGACAGTTTAAAAATTAGGCACATTAGAGATAATTTGCAAGTGGCAAAGGATTTTATATATCTATCGTTTCCTAGAAATGTTAGAGAATTTCATTTCAATAGCGAGGGAAAGATTTATGATTTTGAGAATATTATCGATACTGTTTCATTTGTTAGCCCTCTAGTATCAACAGGATTGTTTTTGTATAATTTTAAATTGAATCAGGCTCAGATGAAAAAGCTGTTCCGAATAGTAAGTAAAAGACTCATATACGTTGGAGTTCCTCAATGAATCCTTGAACTTGACTCTATTCCTGATTTCTCAAATTCATTGGACGGGTCGATTATCGAATGGCTAGGTATATCATATTGAGGTAGCCCTGAATGTTGTGATTGGAAGAAGTATCCAGAAAGATTTTCAAATTTGATAAGAGGACTAGTAATTAGCAAAGATTTCAAAACCAATTTAAAGGAAATTACAATAAATGAGAGTGGATTAAGTTTAGAAATTGTACAACAAACACTTAAAGAAAATGGACTTGGTCATGTTAAGATATATCGGCACTCAATGTAACTCATATTTGTTCTATTTTCAATAATTTCAAGAAGTGATGGGGTTTTGGGGTTTTGGGGTTTTGGGG